GCGTGCATGTTTTCATACCAAGCTGGTTCTGAGCAAAAGTACCTTGTAATATAGAATCATCTTTACATTCCAAGGCTAATGTGCATCCTTTCATTATCAAACAAGAGTTTAGTGTGCTAAATAGTATGAACTAGACTATGAACACAAAAACCAAGAAAATTCTCGGCTGACATTGTCATTTTGTTGATTACATGTTCTTCTGTCTACTGATTCATGATGTAGGTGGTATGATGTCATTTTTAGTGAAGTCTAAGACAGAAGATTCAGTGAAGTGTGAAGTAGTTGATGGTGGTGAGCTTAAATCTAGGCGGCATTTAAATGTCCGAGGAAAAAGTGCTACACTGCCTTCTATTACAGGTTGGTCCTCGAATTTTAATTGTTCCAATTTCTATTACTTTGTAGAATTTCCACTTTCCTCTTCTTTCACCCTTTTATCCCACATTTTCTATATAGGGTTGAGAATGATGGGTTATTCATTTTTGTTGGTTTATGCAGAAAAGGACTGGGATGACATAAAATTTGGAGTAGACAATAAAGTTGATTTTTATGCTGTTTCCTTTGTTAAAGATGCAGAAGTGGTTCATGAGTTGAAGAATTATCTGCAGAGTATTTTTTTTATCTTATAGTTTTCTTTAGTGAAATAATAACTGTGGCTCTGGTATATGCTTTAAATTCTCTTCTACTGATGTCTTTTTTCCTTTGCTTTTGGCAGTTTGTGATGCAGATATTCATGTTATTGTGAAAATTGAAAGTGCAGATTCTATTCCAAATTTGCATTCTATTATAACAGCTTCCGATGGGGTGATCACTTATTTTTTTTATTGAATCGTTAATGCTGCTAAATTTTAGGTTTATGTTTTATGCATTTATATGAAGGTGTAGGTAGTTTTGTCTATTTCATACATTCAGCTGTACGTTCGCTGAAGAAAAATATTTTCAATTTTTTAGGAAAATTGGTGCTAAAATGTTATGAGGCTTTTTCTAATATCAAATACCATCCGAGAACTTGCTTTTTAAAAATATTAAGTACCATTTTTGAACTTTAGGCACTTGGCCCGCTTCTGATGATAATATGATTCAACAATAAAATTTAGTTATTGTCATTTCACCATTTATGTGATGTGTAGAAAGTAATTCTTGTTCTCTTCTTTTAGGCAATGGTTGCTAGAGGAGATCTTGGTGCAGAGCTTCCTATCGAGGAGGTTCCTCTTTTGCAGGTTGGTTTAGTTTTTTTTTATTGAACAGTAAAAGATAATTCATCAAACAGACTTTATTTACTTGTAAAGAAATTCATTTGTTACTTGGCCACTCAGAGTTCTAGTTGGTGTAAAATGTAGGAAGAGATAATTAGAATTTGTCGAAGCATGGGGAAAGCTGTTATTGTGGCAACCAATATGCTTGAAAGTATGATTGTTCATCCAACACCAACCAGAGCAGAGGTATCTGACATTGCCATTGCTGTTCGTGAGGGTGCTGACGCTGTCATGCTTTCTGGAGAAACAGCTCATGGAAAGTAAGTTATTTAAGTTTTTACATGGAATTTTTAGAAATTTTATTTTACTTGCTCCTCTTCGTACCTTAATTTTTTCCTTATATGGCATGCCACCCTTGCTATTTTTGCCATTACAAGTAGGTAAGGATTTCATTTTGTCTTGTGCTAATAACAATGTTCCATATTTGAGTAATTGTTTATGTAGAAAATTCCTTTGATGTAATATGCAAGGTTTATATGGATATTTTTGGATCCTAGTTGGTGAAGTTAGAAACTTACCAAAACTCTTTGGGACATAAAACTAGAATGCCATATCTGCCCCCTTGCTTTATCTTTTCTCGAATGGGAATTGTATGAACAATGTGCAAATTACTCTACCTAAGTGCACTTTAGTAAATGGGTTTCACTTTCTTGCAGGTTCCCATTGAAAGCTGTTAAAGTGATGCATACAGTTGCATTACGAACTGAAGCAACCATATCTGGTGGTGAAATGCCACCTAATCTAGGTCAAGCTTTCAAGGTCATTTAACATGTTATATGCACTTTCCAGTTCCCACATGCTTTATGCCTTCTTTTTTTACCTTTGTTTCTTGGTCAACATTTCATAAAGCTTTAATTTTTTTGGTTAACTATCAATTCTGATTGCAGTTACTTATTCTCTGTAGAATTATATGAGTGAGATGTTTGCTTATCATGCAACTATGATGTCAAATACTCTTGGAATCTCCACTGTTGTCTTCACTAGAACTGGTTTCATGGCTATATTACTTAGCCATTATCGTCCATCTGGCACTATCTTTGCCTTCACAAATGAGTGAGTTTGACTTGTTCCTGAATTGCAAATTGGTTACTGTATGGTTCCTGTATCTCGGTTCTTTCTCCACTGTCTTATTCATCTTCTGCTATGGCATAATGCCATAATAATAACAGTCTGCCCTATTTGAGTCTGACTTGATGAATATATTAGTTCCAAATGGGATGATAATTATCTACGAATTCAGATGTGCAACATTTCTCCAGTATTGTAATTTTCGATGTGAGGATTCAACCATTACTGGACTTTATGATCTCGAAAGTTTGACTATGACTTTATCCGTCATGCAGAAAAAGGGTACAGCAACGATTAGCTTTATATCAAGGAGTATGTCCCATATACATGGAGTTCTTAGATGATGCTGAGGAAACCTTTGAGAAGGCTTTAGCTTTGTTGCAGGTAAGATTTTACCAGATTATTCATTCTGAAGTTTCCCTTTAATTGGATGATAACTAGAGATTTAGTTGTTCATGCATCCGTTAATGTTTATTTTGGGCAAATTGTATCTGACAATCCTAAACTTCAGTATACTTTGGAGTTTGGTTCAATTGATTACGCCGTTTTCTTGCAAAAGGACTATTTTTCATAACGCATGCTAGAATTATTATGTGCTTGTTTCATGATGAACTCGACGGTTGATCTACAGAGGCAAGGAATGGTGAAAGAAGGAGAGGAGGTCTCTCTTGTTCAGAGTGGCAGACAACCTATCTGGCGATTCCAGTCGACTCACAATATCCAGGTCCGAAAAGTGTAGCGGTTTTTCAATGAATCCGATTTGACCGAATTATATTCTTCATGCTATTTATAGTTTCAAATGGTCACAGAGAAGAGTATTCAGGTTAGGTTTGGGAACTGCCTCACATTACGTTATTCATAGGAGCTATGCATGTATGTCTTATTATTTAGCCTTTAATGTTTCTCCAGATTTCTTGGTCTATGTGACTATTATTCACTGCCCCCTTTTCTTTTTCTCCTTTTCTAATTCCCCTCTAAAGACGATTCTAGTTTTGTATTCGAAGATTATCCGAGTTCGAAATATGAGGTAGGCAGGCTGATATATTGAGCTTGTGTTTCTAGTAAAAAAGGAATGTGATTTGCAGCACACTGTAAGCTTAATTGAAGGAATCATCAAACTTCCATGCATTTTTCAATGTAGGCGATTCTTCTAGTCAAATGAAGCTATAGTTTAACTGAACCTGGCTGGCTGTTATTAGGGCCGTAAATGAGACGAGACATATCGCGAGTTACTCGAGATCGATTCGGTTAAGGCTCGATAAATACTTGGATCGAGTGGATTGACTCGAATTCTTAACGAGCTCGAAAATAGAATATATTAAGATTTTTTTTAAAAATAAATTATTAATAAAATTACCATTTATGTGTTGATTTAAAAAATACATTAAGGTTTTCATTTATTTAAGATTTCGGTTCAAGTTTGAGTTTGAGGTTTCAATCGAGTTAAGTTTAAGAATTTTTCCTCTTTGTTTCGAGCATTTTAAAGCTACTCACGAGCTTCAGTTCAGAATTTCGAGTTCGAGTCGAATTTAAAATTTTAAGCTTACATGTTTTTGAGTCTAATCGAATTCCATTTCAGAACTTTCGAATTGAGTCGAGTTCAGTAATACTCTCAGTTTGTTTATACCCTAGCTGCTATTGTGATTTATTATTTCAGTTCCAAATCCAAATCTCTAACTTCATAAATGGGAAAGCCTTATATGGATGATATCAGCCTAAACGAATGGGAGGAAATACTTATTTTATTTACCATGAAAACATAGTGTATACACACACACGTATACAAAGTTAAACTTATAGAGCAATAAAAGAGAATGTTATTTTCTCTAGAGAATTTGAGTTCAAACAATTATGTTTGTCGGTGTATGTGTTGTCAATAGTTTAAGAAAACATCTAAATAAATATTACATTGTAATTACATTTATCTCATGCTATTTCATATATATATATATGGATTAAGATCCAATTATAAAATATGTAAATTTTTTTTAATTTTACACAAGTTTAAACCCGTTGAATGAAATAAAATAAACGATTGAGATATACTTATTTTTTTTACCAAATATCTTCACGTTTGTTATTATTAATATTAACAATCTATTTCTTCTCATTTAATCATAATAGGTTACATATATAAACAAAAGAGTACCAACTAAAGAAAAGTAAATTAAATAAAGACCAAACGACGTAATTTGTAGTCTAAGATTAATCTATAAACAGGTTATGGTAATACACTATGAAAGTAAAAAGAGAATTTAATCTATAAATAAATTTAAAATTAATTTATTTTAAGTTTAGTTAAATATACTATCGGTTCAAATTAAAATATCTATTAACCAATTAATATCATATTAACAACCATCGTTAGCAGGATTAATAATTTTTATTTAAAAATGATTTATTTAACTGAAATAAAAATATATAAAATTAAATTACTTTAATAAAAGAATAGGGGCAAAGTGGACTTGGCATTACACCTTTATGTTACGGATGGATTCGGGTGGCATGGACATGTTCCTTATGCTTTGTTTAATGAAGAATGCAATGTAAATGAGATATTTGAAAACGAAAAAGGAATTATACTTCGAAAATATTTATTAGTATTTTTCAAAAGATATTATTTTTAAAAAAATAAAAGGAAAATTCCCTAACCCAACCGTCCATCCATGATGGAGAAAATAATGGTATGGGGTTTTAGTTTACAGTGGAAATCATATGTTTTTTTTGTCCAGTTCAACTTGCAGTCCGTTGTCTTCCTGGAAAACTCTAATTTTCCATTGTTAATAAATTATCAACCCAGAAAACAATTAACAATTGAAACCTGAAAAAAATGTCTGCTTTTCATGTCTCCAATTTCATCATTACTACGAATGCCTCGTCAACTCATCCGAAGTTCCCCTGTTTTTCTCTCTTCCAAAAATCTCTTTCGTTTCCCTACTCCGTTCCTCAGTCTCAAAGGAAAATCACAACTTTCGTCTCTTCAAAATCGTCGGAAGCAGGGGAGTTGTCGACCGCAGAAGACGAGTGGCTCAGCAGACTCCCGGACAAGAACAAGCCCCTTTACTCCCACAGCCTGCCCTGCATTGAAGCATGGCTTAGGAGCTTAGGGTTTTATCAGACCAGAGATGACCGTGCTGTTTGGTTGATTGAAAAACCTGATTGGGATGCCCAGTTATCTCTTGATGTCACTGATCTTTGTATAAGGTAAAACAACGGCTTTTAGCTAAAGGCTGATTTTATTTTATTTGTTACTTTTGGGTGTTTTCTGTTTCGTTTGATTTGAGATTGGTATCTTTCTTTAGATTGATTGTTAACTGGGTTTACAGAAATTTTTTAGATGCTGTAGAATTGGTATTTCTTGTACTGAATTGCATAAAAAAGAAAATTCATGGGTCCAATTGAATTGCTTAAGGTATCTGGTCTTGCTGAAAAACCACAATGCAACAGTTGTACTGCATTAACCCAGAAAGGCACCCCTTAGGCAATGCCGTGATTTCTTTTCTTTGTTTAATCACATGGATATGATCTATTAATGGACTAATCCGGATAAGGTATTACAGCCTCCCAACCCATTTGCTCCATTCACAATGCCAAGATTCAAACCTCTGATCATGCTTAAGAGATCTAGTGCCTCATTCCGTTAGACCGACTAGTTGTTGGTTATTCGCGGATGTTTATTGAGAACATAGTTGTAAAAAGGCCTGAGGCGTAAAAGCGTAGAGGCTCACTGAACGGGGCTTTTTCAACACTGAAGCGAGGTACATAGCCTAGGCGCAGCGAGGCTCTAAGGCGCCTCAGTCAGACGCGATGTGGGCTTAAAACCTTATAATTATTACTAGCATCAACAACCTCCTTGAACTCCTTGTTCCTCACGAAGTGTCTGGTTGTAATCCGTCTTGAACTCTTAAAGCAGCGCCTCGAACTCAGACTGGTTGAGGTTCTTATTGATTTCAGTGTTAAAAAGGGTCTCCATCTCGTCGAAGTCGATGGAGTATAACCTCGGCATCAGAAGGGTCTCTTTGATTGTTGTTTTGGCGGCTTTCTTGCCGCCCTTGACGACGGTCTTTGTTGTTGGCTGCGAAGTGGATGACATCCTGATGGTGGTGAACATCACATAACGTGAGTTGGTGAAGATTGGAATGCTTGAACTGAACTTGGAGATAGGCTTTACGAGTGCCATTTCAGTTGCCATTTTTTGTGGAGACGGTGAAGACAGAAGCTAGGATGTTGAAGGAGAAGGTGTTTGAGTTATAGGTGAGGGACAGTTGATTGAATCTCTCATCCAACGAAATCTGGGTCTGTGAATCGAATACTGACACGTGTGATCTCCATTATCACCATTATCACATTATTAGCAAAATGCTACTTTAATTTTCAACTTTACGAATTTCACCAAAACCCCATCATTGGTTGACAAAATTTTGGATATTTAGTCTGGTATAGTTGAGACAAGCTTTGATGTATATCATCCATACATTATTACTGCTGCAGATAAATTTATTTTATTGGCCCAGGTTTTTATGGCCCAAACAATGAAATAATCAAATAATATCTTATTATTGAATTTTACTTTCTTTATTATTCTATTTACTGTATATTTTGTTTTTTTAATTAAACTTTATATATTAAGTTTTTTTTTTATGTTCCATCGTTTTCAAGGTAACATAGTGAAGACGTGACTTATTTTAGTATTAAAACGAACCACCTTTTAGGACCCCTAAAACCCTCAATTGACTGTCAATCGGCCTTCTAATCCACACATACTAATCTATCGATCGGCCGCTTCCTCCTTTTCTTTGACTGGTATCTGCGACGTTAAACATCATTTTTAGCGACTTGCTTGTTGATAGCTTTTATGACGTTAGGTTGATATTTTGAGTTTGAGAATGAACTCTATTGAAGCCTAATATTGAGTATCTATGATATTTGAGTTTGATTGCATTAATAAATACATGTATTACAATTTTTTGGATTTCATGCGTCTCGCCTTCGTGAATCCCGCGCCTTTCATGCGCTTCGCGCCTCAAGGCTCCAGGACACTTTTGCGCCTTGATGCGCCTTGAGACTTTGATAACTTTGATTGGGAAGTTTCTGTATCCTTTTCGCTAAAGGCTGATGTTGTTTAGTTTCTGTTCTGGAGCAAACATTCTGTAGTTTCTAGTGACTAACATAAGTTGGCATATAAGTTTCTAAATTGTAGGTATCGCAGTCATGTATACAGTACAATACAAAGGTTCCATTAAATATCGTGGCGTTTTATGCGAAATACTAGCAATAGGCGTTGCTAATGAAAAAATGTAGTTGGCTTGACCAAGTTCCTTGGAGTTAAACAGAATGCACATTCGAGAGCTGAAACGAAAAAAGCAGTGATTAAGGATAGGTATAAAGTTGGGAAGGTTTGGTCATTTCCACCTTCTGCAAGTATTAGCAGGATTGATGATCACAATCATTGGTGCACGGATGTAGGCAATGCTTCGTGCTTGTAAATCAATCTTCGAGTTATGATTTATGAAGCAAAAACCATGAATGTTAACTAACCTGGTTACTGTTCTTTTTTGCACAATATCTCATTTTAGCATAAATTTAGAGAGCGGGATAGAAATCCAGGAACGAAGAGAAAAGAAGAAGCGCTGGAAAACTGATGCTATTGGTTAGAGAGAATGAGCAAAAGATTTTGGATGTTAACCGTAGGATGTTTTTGGAGGAGGCTTAATTCGCTCCAGACCTTGGCTATATCTAATGCCTTTTCTAGTGTACCTTGTTTCTTAGGTTGGATCAAGCTGTATCTTCTTCTCAGACAATCTGCTAAAAAGAACCGTTTCTATTTAGTGAAATTTATCAAGACCTGCAAACGCATTCAAACTTATTGCATTTGATTGCTGGATGATCTCAGTGTAATTTAATTAAATTCCATCCGACGTACGAGGGGGGGGGGGAATTGGAAGTGAAATGGATAGAAATAAGCATTGTATAGCATTCTTCTCCTGAATTTTCTCGTTTATTGGGCTAAGAAGACTGTATCATATGGTGCAGGTATTTGAAGAGCGGACCTGGGAATCTTGAACGAGACATGGAAAGGAGATTCAGTTATGCACTGAGTAGAGAGGATATCGAAAATGCAATACTCGGAGGACCGTAAAGACCTTTAGTTAGTTCCTCATCATGAATATCTTTCAATCAAGCAGTTGCAACACTTTATCAACTTCCTAAACTTTGAGGATATCCTACCACTGCAAATTTGCAATCTTATGCCTTTTCTCCTGTCTCTTGTCTTAGTCTCTTAGATTGAAGTTAAGCAAGTTATGGGCATTTTATGACCTAATTATCATGCATTTCAGATAGATATATGGCTCATTGTTATTATGATTCTTGCTTTTCTATTTTCCAACTTATATTATACGTTTAAATTCTGCTTTGTGATAATTCCAGCAAACACAGAGTACATATTGTCATCTGTTCAGAAACAGCTCAAAGTGTTGATCAGATTTTCATACATCCGCTATCCAAGATGGACCGAGGCCCCCTCAAAATTTTCAAATTCTTATATATGTTATTTCCTTTGCATTTTCGATTGAAAATTTATTCTCCTTTAAAGTTTTATAAGTTTACATTTTCTTAAAATTTTATAAATTCGTCCCTTAACATAAAATATTGTGTTGTTCAATACAAAATCCCTGAAGGTAAGCTGATCCTTAATGAGTACGTTATTGGTACTCCATTTCTCTTTATAATGCCTCACCATTCAACAACATGAGGGGAGGTAAAATGTTTTTTTTATAAGTGATTATAAGGTAGCATATGTTAAAAAAAAGAATTGACTACACATATATACTCTACACCTGCTGTACAATTGTTCGAATCGATAACCTCTAAATAGAATAACACTTTTCTTAGCCGCCAAGGCTATTTGATGAGTTGAGATAAACCAAAAAAATTAGGAATATATTTTCTGAATTATCTCATAATACAACTGCTTAGCAGATACGAAAATAATGATTTTCTAGTAATCCAAAATTAGATTTATATAATATAAATTATTGGCTTTTAACAAAATGGTTTACGCTTTCATGGAGAAAGTAGGATATCATCCTTATATAATATTGGCCTAGATAGCAACAGTTGCAGCTCTTATTATTATTATTTTTTGAATTTATCACTGGTATTTGATTTATTAATCGACTAATCCAGATCATGTACTGCAGAAACGAGGGCAACCCTCCCAACTCAGTTTACTCCATTCACAAACACCAAGATTCAAACTCCTTACCTTACAGAGACCTAATGTCTCGTTCCATTAGACTAAGCGATTGTTGTTAAACTCTTATTCGTACATCACGGCCATAAATCATTAAAAACCAAACGAAAAACCAGGCTGAAAACCAATCGTTTCTCTAGCCTATTTTTCCCCTTCACACCTCTAAGCTAGCTAGTTAGGCACCTCAAATCTCTTCAAAGCGGCCGTTTCCATGCATAGAAACCGATACGGCGGCGGCCATTTGAGTTTCATGTTGGCCGCCACCACCACTATCCTCGCCTGAAATTTCTTCTAAAGACCGACCTTTGGTTTCTGGGACCAGGAATGTGAAACAAAATCCCAACATGATTGTAAAGGCCAAAGTGATGATGGCAGCCTTGATTTTCTTAACATTTCCGTCCAATGTATATGATTGTACCACGAGAGCTCCGATCATGGCTCCAGCCTTCTCCGATGCTCCTCTCAGCGCATGACAAGTGGACCGCAATCTCGTAGGGAACAGCTCCGCCGGTAGCACAAAGGTTGTACTGTTGGGGCCAAAGTGGGCGAAAAAGAACGTTAACCCATAAAGAAGAACGAATAGGAACTTATTATTATCCCTGAGATAATCGTATTTGACGCCAAGAATGAGCATGAAGATGGACATCATGAAGAATCCAACCAGTTGGATGACGAAACGACCGATCTTTTCTATGAAAATTTCAGTGAACCAGTACCCTGGGAATGTACCAAGCAAAGCAACAACGAACATGGCGCGCGAGGACTCGAAGACTTCTCTAATGGTGTTCACATCAGGAGCTTTATTGGTTAAACCCATGGCTGGGAAAATGTCGTTTTTGGGTTAGGTTTTGACTGTAGAAAGCAATATCCAACAAGAACCAAGTGGTCATTGTACCTGTCAAGAATTTAGAAGCCAAAATAATAAACAAAATGATATCAACGTTGATAATAAAAGTATAACAGACGAGATTTAATATGATTTGATATTGTCGGATAATAACATTACCTATAAGATGATACCCTTGGCGTTTAAAGAACTCATGTGATAATAACCCGTATTGGTTCGCCGCTTTAAATTGTGAAAGCTTATATCTGATTCAACATCGAGTTCAATTTCAAGAACTCGGCCCATGTCAGCCGCCGCTTGTTTGGCATTCCCTTGAATAATCGCAGTGTAACGACCGGTTCCGGCATCTTCTTCAGCCAATAATACGTTAGAAGAGCCGGTAACGAATCGAACATGAGCACAATCCGCCATAGATAATCAGCTTCCGGTTGTGTGGAAAATACATGATCATCTTTAAAACTAGGTGCCAGATAAAGCTTAAGGAAGATAGCCGAAAGAATCATGGAAACCAAGCCGGAAAATATAATCTCAACTCCTTGCATGGCGAAAACCGCAGCAATAAACGCTCCACGAGTCTTTTCGTTAGCCTATTCCGACTGTTGAAAGTATTGTTAAGTTCAAAGTTTGGCAACCAACTTTGAAAAAATAATTTTCAAAGTTTGGTAAATGTTTTTTGAAAATGGTTTTCAAAGTTTGGTAAATGTTTCTTTGAAAAATAGTTTTTCAAAGTTTGGTAGATGTTTGTTGAAAAATGATAATGACATAATCACAATTAATCCCTATACTTTAGGGTATTTACAAGATTAAGTCTTTAAGCTTCAACTATAAATACCCTAACTCATTTAGCTTCAAAACCATCCCAAAAATCATTTCTTTCTCCCAATACTAGAGAACTTTCTTGTGAGTAGTGAGTGTTTTGTAAACACCTGTAAATTTCTCTCTTAGTAAAAGATCTACAGCAGTCCGGAGACGTAAGCAAATTGGCTGAACTCCGTTATCAATTTCATGTATTATTTTTCCGCTTTTATTTCACATTCTCACTAATCTAGTTATAGGAAAATTACTTGTTACTCATTTTATTTCCCAACAACTGGTATCAGAGCTTTTGGTTGTGAATTTTGTCAATTTTTTGCGAGGTTACTATTCATTACTATTCACATGAATAGTGAATTTCGTGAATAGTAAAAATTTTGTCAGCAATACGAATTTGTCGACGGAGGTGTTCTAATACACGGTGATTCGCAAGAATTGTCAGAAATGATCCAAACGAAGCCATATTGGAGTGAGAGCGATGGCTGCAGACGAAGGGAAGGTGAAAATTGAAAAGTTCGATGGTGCAAACTATGACTTTTGGAAGATGCAGATCGAAGATTTTTTGTACCAGAAAAATCTATATCAACCCCTCTCAGGAAAGCAACCAGAAGGCATGAAGAATGAAGACTGGGCTCTTCTCGACAGACAAGCCCTCGGAGTTATCCGACTGACGTTATCCCGCAATGTTGCTTTCAACATAGCAAAGGAAAAGACCACGGCGAGTCTTATGTCGACTCTCTCTAGTATGTATGAGAAGCCATTGGCCTCAAACAAAATTCATTTGATGAGGCGATTGTTCAATTTGCGGATGGCGGAAGGGGCATCAGTGGCTCAACACTTGAATGAACTCAACACAATCACAACCCAGTTGAGTTCCGTGGAAATTGAATTTGATGATGAAGTTCGAGCTTTAATTCTCTTATCATCTATACCAGACAGTTGGAATGTTACTTTACAACAGTCAGCAGCTCGTCGGGAAATAACAAATTAAAATTCGATGATGTTTGGGATCTGGTATTGAGCGAAGAAATTCGACGGAGAGAATCGGGTGAAGCATCAACCTCCTTAGCCTTGTACACGGAGTCCAGAGGGAGAACTTCAAAAATATTCAAATCGTGGCAGATCAAAATCCAGAAGGGGAAAATCAATAACGGGAAAGAAAGATTTTACCTGTTATAACTGCGGCAAGAAGGGTCACTTTAAAAGAGATTGCCGAGCACTGAAGAAAAATACCGGCGCACAGGATTCTGCCAACGTGACAGAGGAGACAGGTGATGTCATGATTCTAAGCGTCAACAGTCCGATTAAATCATGAATCTTGGATTCAGGGGCATCTTTCCACTCCACCCCATGCTGAGAAATCATAGAGAACTATGCCAGTGGTGATTTTGGGAAGGTTCATCTAGCCGATGATGAAACCTTGAAGATCGTCGGAAAAGGAGACATCCGATTAAAGCTGCCAAACCAGACCACCTGGAAGCTGACAGGAGTGAGACATATTCATGGCCTTAAAAGAAATTTGATTTCTGTAGGACAGCTTGATGTAGAAGGTTATAGTACAACCTTTTCAGGCTGTGAATGGAAGATTACCAAAGGAGCACTCGTCATTGCTCGTGGTAAGAAGACTGATACTCTCTATGTAACCTCAAATTTAGAGAATATCATTGCAGTAGCAGATGCTGATGGAAAATCAAACTTGTGGCACCAAAGGCTTGGCCATATGAGCGAGAAAGGGATGAAAACACTTTTGTCAAAAGGGAAGCTGCCGGATCTAAAGAATGTAGATGTCGGACTATACGAAGATTGCATCTTTGGTAAACAAAAGAAAGTCAGCTTTGCAAAGATTGGCAAGACACCCAAGGCAGAAAGGTTAGAGTTGGTTCATACTGATGTATGTGGACCATCTCTAGTTCCATCTCTTGCAGGCTCATTATATTATGTCACCTTCATCGATGATTCTACAAGGAAGGTGTGGGTTTATTTTATGAAGAAGAAATCAGAAGTCTTTGATACCTTTAGAAAATGGAAGGCCATGGTGGAAAATGAGACTGGTTTGAAAGTCAAGCGGTTGAGGTCTGATAACGACAGAGAGTACAAAAATAGTAGATTCAGAGATTTCTGCGCAAACAATGGGATCAAGATGGAGACAACAGTTCCCATGACACCGCAGTAGAATGGAGTAGCAGAGCGCATGAACAGAACTCTGAATGAACGTGCTAGAAGCATGAGGATACATGCCGGATTGGCCAAATTTTTATGGGCTGAAGCTATCAACACTGCAGCTTACCTGATCAACTGTGGGCCCTCAGTTCCTTTGGATGGCAGAATACCAGAGGAAGTTTGGAGCAAGAAAGAAATAAACCTTTCACACTTAAGAGTGTTTGGCTGTATTTCTTATGTACACATAGACTCTGCTGAAAGAAGTAAACTTGATGCTAAGTCCAACAAATGTGTATTTGTTGGTTATGGCGGTGATGAGTTCGGTTACCAGTTTTGGGACTATGAAAATCGGAAGATCATCAGAAGTAGAGACGTCATTTTCAATGAGAATGTGATGTACAAAGACAGGGCAACCATAGAATCAAGTAGCTCCAATACCAAAACTGAAACAAAGGAATTTGCTGAGTTTGAGGAGATTTTTGGAAATGATATTCAGATCAATCCTGAAGCAGTTCAAGAAGAACCAAGCACACCAGAACTGAGATGCTCATCCAGAATTCCTAAACCAACCCAACGATATTCTCATTCTTTGCACTACTTGTTGCTGACTGACAATGGTGAACCAGAGTGCTATGATGAAGCAATGCAAGTGGAGGATTCAGTCAAGTGGGAGTCTTCCATGAAAGATGAGATGAACTCGCTTATGTCAAATCAGACATGGGAATTAGCTGAATTACCACCAGGCAAGAAAGCGCTCCACAACAAGTGGATTTAGAGGATCAAAAAAGAGCATGATGGGAGCAAACGCTACAAAGCAAGATTGGTTGTCAAAGGTTTTTAGCAAAAAGAAGGTATTGACTACAATGCAATTTTCTCTCCAGTTGTAAAACTGTCTACAATCAGACTGGTGTTGAAAATTGTAGCTGCAGAAAATTTACACCTTGAGCAGTTAGATGTGAAGACAACTTTCCTTCATGGTGTTTTGGAGGAAGAAATCTATATAAGGCAGCCAGAAGGCTTCATAGAGGCATGCAAGAAAAACCTGGTATGCAGATTGAAGAAGAGATTGTATGGTTTAAAACAAGCTCCTAGACAGTGGTACAATAAGTTTGATAGCTTCATGGGTAGTAGTGGTTTTACCAGATGCCAAACAGATCATTGTTGCTACATCAAGAAGTTCGACAACAACTTTATTATTTTATTGTTGTATGTTGATGACATGCTTGTTGCAGGTTCAGACATGCAAGAGATTATAAACTTGAAGCAAAAATTATCGAAGCAGTTTGCAATGAAAGATCTGGGCGCTGCAAAGTAGATTCTAGGGATGAGGATCAAGAGAGACACAAAGTCGGGGACTTTGATGTTATCACAGGCTGAGTACATCAACAATTTACTCTCCAGGTTCAACATGCAAGATGCTAAACCAGTAATTACACCTTTAGGTGTTCATTTTAGACTCTCCAAAGAAAAGTCACCAAAGACGGAGGAAGAACGTGCACACATGGTGAATGTGCCATATGCCTCAGTAATTGGAAGTCTGATGTATGCCATGGTTTGTACCAGACCAGATATTGCTCATACAGTGGGAGCTGTTAGCAGGTACATGAATATTCCAGGCAAGGTACATTGGGAAGCAGTCAAATGGATCCTCATATATCTGCGAGGTACCACAAACAAAACACTTTGTTTCAAAGGTGGAGATATGATACTGACAGGCTATGTAGATGCTGACTTAGCCTGCAGTGAGTTGGGTTTCTCAACTACAAAAGATAGTTGCTCTCTCCACAAGTGAAGCAGAATATGTCGCTGTTACGGAAGCCAACAAGGAGATGGTTTGGCTCCAAAGTTTTCTTGGAAGAGTTAGACAAGAAACAAGAAAACAATGTCTTGTATTGCGACAGTCAAAGTGCTATCCATCTAGCAAAGAATCCGTCTTTTCATTCCAGTACGAAGCACATACAATTGCAATATCATTTTATCCGGTCTTTTCTGGAAGATGGGATTTTGAAGCTTGAGAAGATTAGTGGAGCTCAAAATCCGGCAGACATGTTGACAAAGACGGTGACCACTGACAAACTGAAGTTGTGTTCAACTTCAGTTGGCATGCTAGAATAACAGGACCAAAAATGCTGCTGCATTGATCGAGGTGTGAAGGCATATTAAAATCAGTCTTCAAGTGGGGAGATTGTTGAAAGTATTTGTTGAAAACATTTTGATGTTTCGATATAACAAATTAAATTAAAAGAATTTTAATTTTGAAAATGATTTTTCTAAGCATATTCGATATATTAAATCGAATATCAAAATATTACTCAAAGTATTTCAAAGTTCATTTTAAATCCTTACTCAAGTGTAAAATTAAGTTTTAATCTTAAAATAATTTCAAAACGATTTTACAAAATATTTCGAACCATTTCAAAGCCAAAAATTTCAGATTGCTCAGAGGGAATCGATTCCCCCTGAATGGTTTGGCTCCAAGAATTCCAGAATGCTCAGAGGGAACCGATTCCCCCACTGGTCAACGGTCGAAATATTTGAATTTTAGACTTAGGGAACCAATTCCCCATGAGGGGTACCGATTCCCCCCACGCTCCAAGCTGTTTTATTAAATGATTTCACACTTAAACGGCTCTATTATCTCCAATAATCATCCCCAACGTTCAGAAGTGATTCAAGGTGTATTTAAGCAAGCTTAGAAGCATTGATCAATAACAAGAAACATCAAGCAACTAGAATTAAGAGAGAATCAAAGAGAAAGCATCAAGCCTCAAGTTTGAACATTTCAAGCCTATCTTTCATTCAATATTCATCTTTCAAGAACACTTATTGTGCTCAATTGTATTCATTCTTGAGTGTTCTTTTCTTTGTTCTAGAATTGTGCAAACAATCTACCTTGTGAGGATTTCCTTGTAAGTTTGCAAATTTGTATTGTTCTCTTTGGGAGAGAGTGTTCTCAAGAATTTGGGGTATAATTCTTAAGGGTTTGTAAGGTTACTCTTTGTCCTCAAAAGAAATACAAATTAGTGAATTTGTGGAAAATCCTTAGTGTGGATAGCTAAGGTAGTGGACGTAGAATTTGGTTGAGAAAGTCGAACCACTCTAAATCGCTGTGCAAATTTCTTTCAATTTTCTGCAAAAGCTTCCACCAAAATTTTAATTGCCAATTCACCCCCTCTTGGCCATATTCGTCAATCGATTAACTCAACAGTATTGTTAAGTTCAAAGTTTGGCAACCAACTTTGAAAAAATGATTTTCAAAGTTTGGTAAATGTTTTTTTGAAAATGGTTTTCAAAGTTTGGTAAATGTTTCTTTGAAAAATAGTTTTTCAAAGTTTGGTAGATGTTTCTTGAAAAATGATAATGGGATAATCACAATTAATCCCTAAACTTTAGGGTATTTACAAGATTAAATCCTTAAGCTTCAACTATAAATACCCTAGCTCATTTAGCTTCAAAACCATCCCAAAAATCATTTCTTTCTCCCAATACTAGAGAGCTTTCTTGTGAGTAGTGAGTGTTTTGTAAACACCTGTAAATTTCTCTCTTAGTAAAAGATCTGCAGCAGTCCGGAGACGTAAGCAAATTGGCTGAACTTCGTTATCAATTTCGTGTATTATTTTTTTGCTTTTATTTCGCATTCTCACTAATATGGTTATAGGGAAATTACTTGTTACTCATTTTATTTCCCAACACCGACATGATTGTGGCGGAAAGAGGATAATCGCCACCGATGCCAAAACCAAGCCAAAATATGAAGAAACAAAGGGTGCCGATCCTAGAACCGGAGGTGGATTCAAATGATAGGCCTGAGCAAAAGCGTAGAAGACCATGAGGATGAGAGTGTAACCGTAAACTTTCTTGCGGCCTAGTTTGTCACCGAGCTAACCGAACACAAGCTGGCCGCTGAGAGTTCCGAATAAGGCTACACCAGTGACCAAGTTGTTAGTGTCCTGGGGAAGCTTTCCCGGCTTGCCGGTAGTTGTGATGGTGGCACTAAAATTCGAATTTTCTTCGGTTAATTACTTATTTTATTGATGATGTCCACCTTAAAATTTTTCATACCCATCTTAAAATATGAATTTTTTTCGATTAATTATTTATTTTATAGATAATGTCCACTCTAAAATTTTATTTGTATCCATTATATTTAAAAATTTTATGTTACTATGTATGTGCCTGTTCTGAAAAAAATTCTAGATCTGCGGCTGCACCTCCTACTTCAGGGGTCAGCATAAGCTTCGTCCGTTTGAGGTCATCAACCGTCTCTATCACTCCCCCCCAAAAAAAAACCCAACAAACTAACCAACGTAAATCTATTGTTATTGTGAACTATACTTTATATTTTAGTCTTCTATTTGAAAATACAAGTTTGTATAAAAAATAAATAAAAAATATAATCCTCTTACATAAGATAAAATAAATTTCTCTATTTTGCTTAACATTTTTATCAGCTATATGTTATTGTTTTTATTATAATTGTTTCTTTTCGTTATACTAAACCGTCTCATAAAGTATATTTTAAATGTTGTATAGTGCGTGAGAATAACTTGTATTTCAACAAATCTAGATGACCAATTAGTGTACTAACTGGAATGGTTTTTATTACACTTCCAGCTAAACAATGAAATGAAAGCCGGAATATATAATTAATACCACAGAGGCACAGAGCATTAGGGGACCAAAACCAACAAACAAATCGCGTCCTTTATATAATTAATGCACATTGCCCATAAAAGGCACATAGAGATTTCAAAATCAATCTACACATCAAACTGCAAACCATATGTATAAGGGACCTTTACCCATGTTTGAGATTAACTGGAACTGCCTTGTCGTGGTGAAATCTAACCACGATGCATGTTATATTGTCCGCGCTCCCGCGTGTGAAAGCCGTTTCTGTCAACTTTCTGGCAGCTGTCTCGGGTTCTTCTTCTGCCCCGGCTAGCAAAACTGCGTCCTGCTAACATAATTTTAACTTACAACAAGTAAATACAAAATCCCCTCAAGCATTGAAAGATCAACCAATCTAATCTAATATTGCCGGGAAAATCAGTAAGCTCCTAGGAGCTGGTATTGTCCCTTTTATTTTTCTTTCCTTGGAGCAAGTTCATATGTCCCGAATAACTACCACCGCTTTATCATTAGACGTTGCTCACAAATCGAAACAAAGACCAGGCACATGGTTGATATACGTCGATAGATACTTTAGAGAGAGGTTTACCTCATTAGGCACTACATCCCATAAACCATCGCTAGCAAGCACAAGCAACTCAAACTCTTCATCTATCTCTTTATACTGAGAAATAAACATTAAGAAATACAAGTATCTCATTAGAAGGAAAAGAAACAACTTGAACACAAAACGATATATGAATTGTTGTAGTCCGACCACCGTAGATACCGAAATTTAGGGATGAAATGGGATGGAGCAAGAAAAAACAGAAGAGAAAATGAGGCAAAGCTATTTAACATTTACAGTCGAATTAAAAAGAATAAACAAGTACATTTTTACTTCAGCATCTCATTCTAACACATTAGATTCTGACTTATGGTTGTGGTGAATTAAGGATGGAAATAGGATGTTGCAATTTTCAATGTTTTCATATCAGATGATGCTTTTGCCAAATGAGTCCATATTACCGAGGCCAAAGCAATACGATAGGAGAAATTAATAGAAAAATTAAATAAAATGAGAGAAAAAATTTAAGATTACTATCTTATTAGTATATGATTTTGAGGATCACCTGAATTTCGGGTTCTGCAACAACAAATTGCTTCAACATGCGATCTCCAAAAGCTCGAGACATGGCTAATACACCTCCTACCCTCCAAGTTCCTTACATTATCAACAAGACATTTCAATATAAAATTTCAGGAACCGGGACTTCCGATTTGAGTACCAGCTATAAATGAAAATATTTGTTCTGGCTTCAATAAGACAAGCTAGATCCTTAAACAATTTTACCTGCCCACATAACAACCCCACCAGCATTTTCAATTCTCTTCCGTTCATCACTTCTATTAGGTTTATGATCATCCGAGAGAGGGATAGCTTGAAAAGGTAAAAGAAGTTTCTTTTAGAAATCCCCGCTTAAAAATTCAAACCTCTCAAAATTCTTCATCACATCAAGCCACAAGTATCATATCATCTATAGTTGGTAAAGGAAGAAATAAAGAAAAGTGTTCAGAATATGGGGCCTAGCCTTCTTCCCGTTTACTGGGTCATTATATCATTGAACCATTCACATCAGCTTCAAGTAATAGTAATAATATTTACAAAATATTTTAATGCATGTAGCAGTGAACTTGAAAGTAACATATTAATACGCAATTTTTTTTAAAGGAAAAAGCATGGAATACCTTCTCCAGCCTTGGATATTATAGTCCTCGAGTCTCCAACATTGGCAACATATAGATGGTTGCCAACCAACACTGCTGTTGAAGCAGTTGAACCATCATCTCGATAAATATCTCTTTGAGAATCCAAGAAATCTACATCAGTCTGTGGATATGTTTCACCTAGAAGCAATATACAATAAAACCGAAATGAATAAAAGAGGATTAAAATGACTTGATAATCATTTTATGTAGGATACAATCCTATCTCTTGCTTACTCAAAACAAGAAAGAGGTATGAGAACTTGTAATGCATGGATCCTCTATAGAGGGCTGATAGCAAATGATATACACCACTTTTTTTCTGTGTTTGTTTTTGTGGTGTGTGTGTGTGAAAGGTAGGATATGCAACATTTTAAAATATTCCATAAACTGAGAATATCAAAGATCTTGAACACACTTATGGCAAGTTTGGTGTCACTCATGAACTTTGGATGCTTCATTAGATTCTCAAAAAGATGTTGCTTCAAATACTCAGCAGCATGAGAACCGCCATGCCCTGAAATTGCACATGATATTTTTCAATTGCCCCGGGGGGTGTTAACAAAAATCTTCCATTTCAGATATAAAAGGAAATCTTGTTCTTTAGAAACGTTATTCATCATCCAAAAACACATAACCAGGATGACAAATAGTATAAATAGCACAGAGGCAATATTTTTTTTTTTATTTCATAACCTTCCACAAGGCAACAAATTATAAGAAAACTAACCATCAAATATTCCGAACATGCAGACCGTCTTCCCATTAATCTTGGAAGTTTTAATATCGTGGAAATCTTCCATTGTTGATCTCTTTCCCTTAAAACTTGAATAGCCATAGCTTAATTTTCCATCTTCACTGTCAAGCAGACAAGAAACCTACCATGTAAGAGTGACTTAAAATCTAATCTTGGTTAATAGCATCACTTGTACAAAATTACAACAAACAAAATCTGAATCTCTTAAACATTAAATCAACAAATAAAACAACAGTAATGCACGATAGGCAATAGCCTATATCCTCTAGACACAAGGAAAAGATTGATGATTGTATGCAAAATGTAGATATTCAGGTGAGAGGCATGGTCTATTTGAAGAACTTGAAGAGGAGAATACTTATGAGTTATGAAAAAGGTGATTTTGGAAAGTAAAAGAATTAAAAAGAGAATACAATTGATATTAACAATGATATTACAAGTCTTGCAAGGAAACAAAAGTATTCTTCTTCATATCACCCAGTAATTAGGTAACCACCGAATGGAAGTAAAGACAAACAGATGAAAATAATTAACTAAAAGATCCTTTTTCACTTATTCCCTATGAGACCATGCGCAAATTTACGAGACTGTACCAATATCAACACATGTACAATAGACATTGTTAAAATTCTCAGATTGCATAAATGATCGGTAGCTTATAGTACCAACAACAGAATGTTCTAGCTTTCAATCATTAGGCAACACATTAATTGAACTAAAACATCAACGAAATTATCAAATCAGAGTAAATAACTAAAACAGCATACAAACAAAAATCATTTTACAAAATAAATCATGACATTTTGTAATGCATATGATAAGAAGTAAAAACAACTATTTAGAACAAGTGAAAAAGGGTATCTACCTTTCCAACCTGCACTAACATATCCGCCATCACCACCTTTGTCAGATATCATATTAACGATGGGAACCTGTTTTGTTGTTGCGCTTGAATCAACCATCATCCTTGTACTCGCCCGAAATTTACAATTCCACAAAAAGATTAATTCAGCACAAGCATACGAACCCTTTACAGTACCTTATAAAAGCACCCTTAATTTTCCTATATTCCCAGTTTGAAGAAGGAAAATGTTAATTAATTGATAGAGCTTAAGGTGATATTTATAGAACGAAAACCATAATCAACACAGTATTATTTCTTAAATTCAGTAAAAGTAATGTATTGAATGCAAAACTTCCCTAAAATGGTAACGAATATTTAAACCCACGCAGAGACAAAGCTAGAAATTTTATGTATACGGGTCGAGTTAAATTATAAAATTTGGGGGATTAAAGCTAAAAATTTATTTAAAATGGATTAAATTAATTACTTAGTTTTAAAGGGGTTTCATTTAGCTAAAGGACTAAGAGGCTTAAATTGAATTGATAATACTTGGAAGGGACCAATTCCCCTGTCTGCCCCCTGGTTCCTCTCTGAACCCACGAGCAATGGTGGGTAACTCAAATCAGCAAGATTACAAAATCGAAAGCAACAATTGTTTTAAACTTTTAATTACAGGGAAATTTAATTTGTATGTACTGATATCAGGGACTTAAATAGTGTTCCGCTATTGAAATTGTGGTCGTTATATAGCGGTAAAGGTGCCATCCGGAGCCGTTATTTCATAACTACAATACCCACAATGACAAATAGCATACACTATTACTGCAATCATGATAAACGTAATGCAACCAAAAATACGACTACAGCTGCAATTTAAGTACCCGACTGCTATTATTCCCCTTTGAACAAAAAGGACCTCAAAACTAATTAACACGTTTTTTTTTTCAGACAACTGAAACATAATTAACTATTACAATTCAGATAGATTGAATAGCTTCAAACAAAAATTGAATAATTACACTTTCAATTTCAATATAATAGTAATATATTTAGATGAACTAAATTATTATTCAAAGTAGACCTGGACCTGCTATGATTACACAACATAGCACAGGCATGAAAAAAAAGCAACTAAAACTCCACGGGAAAATAATAGAAATACAATGCAAATACAAGAATATCTCAAAACTTATAAACACAAAAAAAAAAAAAAAACTCAATGTATCAAAATCTATATAAATATCTAATACTGCAATCATGACACCAGAAAATATACGGAAATATATGAATGCAACAGGAATACAGTCTGTCCATAAGAAGCAAGAATTAGAATTATTAAGGTGAGATTCCAAATATACTTCGCCTCATTTCTAGAGTTAATAAATCATGCAACAGAGATTGAATACATATGAAGAAAAGACCGCACTATCGATTAAATTTAAACGAAACTGTAAAATAAAAAAAAAAAAGAAGTCCGGATAAAAGAACCTGATCCGATCCGGGGGGGGGAACGGACAGCAATTACAGGGCAGGTCGGACGCGTGGAGGATCCGAATCTGAAATGGAGATCGGTGGGAATCGACCGCGTCGCGCAGCGTTTTCTGTTGAGAAAAAAAGTGATGTGAATGAGAAGGAAATGCGAAAGGGTATAAAGAGGAAAATGAAGACGAGAGAGATTTGAAGAAAGCATTAAGAGGTATTGTCGGTTGGCACCGGGGAGAAGGGGAAACGTGGCACTTTCCATGCATATCCAATTCTATTGGGAGGCCGTCCTCTGCGTGCGCTTAGATTTTGCCATCTATTTCTCCCAATACTTGCTACAACTATTTATATGCTTTGGGTTTATTTTTTTGTAAAGTACAAATGGTTCCTATACTATAGGATAGTACTTTTTTAATCTTCTGACTACTAAAAATTACATAATGATCTCCTGACCATATGACTTTACTTTGTTGAGTCCCGACTATTAAAATTTACAATCACCTGACTATTCATATGATCCAAACCCATTCTTTTCCATTTTTATAGGAACTCCTTTGTTGCAATGTGAAAATGTATGGGCATTTAATTTGGTAAAATTAGCTTGTTTTTTTAACTTGCTGTTTGGAAATGTTATTCCAGGTGGTGATTTTAATTTTCATACCTTAAATGAGAGACTTGAAGGGGTTGGACACAAAGAACTTGTTGACATTCATTGTTCTCTTCCGATATCTACTAAGAGTAGGGATGGCAATAGATCTTGGACCCGACCTGAATCTATATATCTAAATCTGTTTTATAAGGTATGGATCCTAAAATTTTGGATCCGATGGATCCGGATCAGATTTGGATCCTTTGATTAAAGCACGGATTCGAGTCCAGATCTGACATTAAGATACCAAGTTTGGACACGTTTATCCGTTTATAGAAAAGCTCATATTTGATTTTAAAAAATATATAAATGACATAATAGGTTCTAAAATATATATAAATATTTTATAACTTGGGCAGAAGAGTGGTTAGTGCTCACCGTTCTAGACTTCATTCTCAAACCGTGGAAGCTTTAATTTGCTTGCTGATTTTTGCTCTAGAACTGACCGTAGTTTTGAGTGTAATTTTCTGAGTCACATTAGATAAACCTTTTAATGATATGAAATCTAGTTATTTTCACAAATCCTGGAGCTGTAATACACGGTCGAAGCTATAATTAAATATTGTCAAAAGTCGTAATATATTATTTTTAAGAAAATAAAGATTTATTAGGTATTTAAACTCAAAATTCAACATGAACCAAGCAACCTTAGTGATAAAGGGATTGTTGTTATCCTTGAGGTTCCGAGTTCAAGCACGTGTGTAGGGTTATGGCGTTCATTGTCAAATAGTTGAAAGTCTTTGTACATATAATACTTTGTATTCACCACAAATTTATAAAAAAAAACTCAAAACTCACAAAACAACTTCTAATTTATCTAATATTTAAACTTACAATGACTTAAATTATAATTAGATAAAATATTTGAGAACATAGACTCTCATTATTTAGTTCAACCCCTACGTGATTAAATATTTAATAATTTTTTATATTTTTAAATTTAAATATTTAGTTTTACATGAACCAAAATACTATTAAAATATATATTTTAAAATTACTTTATTGAAGGTTTATAAAATATTTTTTCATGTTTTTATTAATAATATTTTATATAATAAAGAGTCAAAAAAATATAAAATAAAATGACAAAAAAAGTAAATAATGCATAATGGACATTTTAAGGGAGATGGTAATCTATATTTTTAGTACCTCAATTATCACTTTTGTTTTATTTTGGTTACTCTATTATTATTTTTCTTTTAAAATCATGTCTAACATTTAGTCTAGGTTTTATTTTGGTCACCCGTCTTTAAAAAATAACGATGATGCTGACGTGTCACCATAATATAATGCTACGTCATTATTGATTTTTTTTTAAAATGTCACATCAATAATTTTGTTAATTTTTTAGTGGTGGGTAACCAAAATGATATCAAAACTAAATGTTAGATATGATTTTGAAAAAAGATAATTGGATGATCAAAACGGAACAGAAGTGATAGCTGGGGTACTAAACTTGTAGTTTACTGTATATCTTATTATGACTTGAAGCTTAATTCATTCTTCAGCTCCGGGAAAATGAGTAGCTTTTATTGTAGGTTTTTTGGGGCTTTTTGGCACTTGTTTTCCAATGAAAGGGAATAACCGTGATGGAAAGACATCTGTAGGAACAATACTGAATGCTCTCCTCATTCATTTAACTGTGATGGCGATTCTTCTTTTAGTATGTTGCTGAATCAATCTTGTACCATACAAACACCCAACACAACTCTTTTCAACTTTGGGATATTCCTTGATGCCCTTCCATCTGGTGTTATGTAGTCGGAAGATTTTCTAGAGAATTTTTTTTACTGTTTTGGTGGGGTCTGCAAAATCTAAGGTGTGCTAGATAAGACACTTTCATTTATTTTTTTCCTTTTCCAATATAGTGTTCACTAGTCATTGCTTGTTTCTTCTTACTAGATGGGCTATATTTCAGCAAATTTGAATAAATTTTTTACTCATTATAAGATAAAATTTGTTCAGAATTTCGTTTGAGGCATGACTTGCGTTTATCTCTGGTAGCTTTTATAGATAATTAGATATATGTACATACCGAACTCTAATATGCTTATTGGCATGCAACTTCTGATTTTGTGGAAACTAGTTTTAGCATTTGACTGTGTATCTTTAACCTCTTAAATCCCACCATTGTAATAATCATTATTTGTTTTGTCTTTTTATTGTTATTATTTTTTTGTATTCATGTTTTTTTTTGTTTTATTCATGTTGGATCAACTAGATATATGAAAAAACATTGAGTGACGTTAGTGTTAAAAGAGAAGGTTGTTCTCCCCAAACTATTATAGATACCACTCCAATACTGTTCCAGTCCACATAAAGTATGTAGCCAGTGTTGACTGGTGGTCTTAATCATGTTCTGTATTTAGGCTTGTTGGATCCATGTCCATCTTCGTTCCAAATGAGCTTATTTAAAGTTTGGTCTTTATTCATGGGCTAACCATTTCTTTGTTTCCTCTCTCATTCTGGTAGAATAGTGCTATTAAAATCAGACAGCAGTGTCTGATATATATTTTTTGCTACTGCTTTTGCATTTCTTGGGTCAGAATCTTGAAACTAGTACCTTTGTCTTGGAGATCTGCTTTGCAGTTTTCATTTCAATCTCGGACTTGGTTCTGTTTTCATTTCTCATTGGAAATATGCAGGTTTGTACCAAATCATCTGCATTCTTCTTCGAACCTCCCTATCTCCACCAGAACTGTCCGAGATCTTACAGAAGTTGAAGCTTCCGCTCTGATGGCAAATGACATGAAGTCTGTTGCTTCCCAGTTCCGCTGGCTTCACAGTAAGCAGCTGCGCCATACTTTTAGGTTCTATTTGCAGAAGTGGAGGACTCGGGCAGCTTGTTTTATACCAGCAGGTTGGCGCCGTTACAGCAAAAAGAAACTCGAAGAATCTCTTAGAGAATAGAATAGATTGCAAGATGCTTTGGCCTATGCTGGTGGGAGTTAACCAAGGCTGGGTGCAACTATTTATGCTTCGCAGTTCGCTGCCAATGCACTTCGTTGTGCTTTACGGAAAAACCGTAGTAGTAAAGCAAGAGTGACAGAGAGGGGTTCCACCTAAGCTGCTTCAGTAGCCTGCAGAGCCTGATTTTACTGCTGCAGAACAATAGA